AAAAAAAAAAAAAAAAGTTGAAAAAAACATTCAAAAATTGATAAATGTAATTCATCAGATTAAAAAGCTAAAAAAGGAAAAACATACGGTTATCACAACAGACACATAACATACATCTGACAAAAATCTAACATCCATTCCTAATAAAATCTCTCAGTAAAGTAGCAACAGAAGGAAACTTCCTGAACATGATAAATAACATCTGCAGAAAAAAACCCACTTGCAGATGTTTTCCCCCTAAGATATGGAACAAGATAAAGAAGTCTGCTCTTGCCACTTCTACTCAGCATTATACTTGACATTCTAGACAGTCTAATAGAGTAAGAAAAATAAAAGATCATCTATCTAGAAAATCCAATAGAGTCTACAAAAAAGCTATAGAACTAATAAGGTTTCCAGATATAAGATTAATATACAAAATTCCAATGGAGATAACAAAATAAAATAAAGCTTTTTAAAAAATGAGCTAAATAAGGCTCAGGGACCTGCAGGACAAAGAATAAAAGAAATTAAAAAAAAAAAAAAGTCTATCACTTATTTTACCAGAGTCTGAGAAAAAAACAAAAAAGAATGCAGAGCTAAAAAAATACTTGAAAAAATAATGGCTGAAACCTTTCCAAATGAGGCAAAAGAGGGGTGCCTGATGGCAGATTAAGCATCTGTCCTTGGCTTAAGTCATGATCTCAAGGTTTGTGAGTTCTGGCCCCACATCGGGCCCTGTGCTGACAGCATGCAGCCTGGTTCAGATTCTCTGCCTCCCTCTCTCTCTGCCCCTCCCTTGCTCATGCTCCATCTCTCTGTCTCTCTCTCTCTCTCTTAAAAATAAATATTAAAAAAAATTTTTTTTAAATGAGGCAAAAGACATAAACCTATTAATTCAAGAAAAACAGTTAAAAACCTAAAGAAACACATCATAATAAAACTTCTGAAAATGAAAGGCAAAGAAAAATCTTCAAAGCATCGGAGAGACATATAGTAGAACAAAGATTCAAAGGACAAAGGATTTTTTTTTTTAGGATTGAAGATGAAATAAAGACAACTGAGAT